AATTCTGATGACGACTTGTCTTTTCAATGACACATCTCCATCCCGCATATGTTCTCCGTGCGAGCGAAGGGCCCGGTCCCGCTCGCTCTCCTTCTCCACTCGCCTCTCGGTTCACGTTAGAAGATGCTTATTAAATTGTGTCATCCACGGAATAAGGGCTAACGCGCTGCATCCAATTTGTGCCGCTTAATTAATTCCCTCCAATTTATTCCCCGAGACCGGCCAATAAAGAAACTCCGGGACCCGCGCCGCTCAACGCCGGTCAACGAGCGCCGTTGATGCCACCGCAATATTGTCCCTAATGAAATCTTCGTTAATCGCGAGAGACTCTCCGCCGGCGAATTTTCCGACGTAACTCGCACGCTTGCGACGTCAATTGCAGCCGAGCTCCATGAATTTCTTGTGCGGCCGCTCGGTCGACACGCGATGCGCAATGATGCATGATGTTGTTGCATTGATACCATCATCCGCCGTTTCTCGCTTCGAGAAAAAGAGAACAGGCGAAACAACAGTAGTTAGCATTGTTCTCGTGGAAACTGAAAATTTATCTATTTTTATGGATATGCTCTAATTTCTGCGATATATTTTGTAAAATAATAAAAGGGACTTGTACATAACACATTATCTGTCAGGTTCTTATTCTTACTTCATTGATATCTTTAATCATCACAAAGATATAATACTTGAAATTTTTTATCTCTATTTTATAGTATTAATGATGTGAAAATGTTATTATATTGCTCCAAAAGATTTGAACTATTACGAGCAATAGTGGGTTATCTTTTGTAAAACATCATTTGTTAAATTCTTATTCATCATTCATCACGAGGATGATACTTAACTTTTTTTATTCTTATAATATTTTATTCTTATATTTTCAATGATACCAGAACTATCTTGTAGTATCTTGTGATATACATCACTATATTGCAAAAAACTTTGACCATTATGAGTAATAAATTATGAGTAATAGTGGCTTATTTTCTGTAAAATAATAAAAGAGATTTCTATACAAAATATTATTTGTCGAGCTCTTATTTTTTATTCATTATACATCGCAAAGATAATTGAAATTTTTTATCCCCGCATTTTTTGTTATTATCAGCAATCCCAGTATTATTTTGTAATATTAATGACGTGCATTACTATGTTGCTACAAAAAACTTTGACTATTATGAGTAATAGTGGTTTATTTTCTGTAAAATGATAAAAGAGATTTCTATACAAAATATTATTTGTCGAGCTTTTATTTTTTATTCATCGTACATCACAAAGATAATAATTGAACTTTTTTATCTCTGCATTTTTTGTTACTATCAGGAATACCAGCACTATTTTGCAGTATTAATAATGTGCATTATTATATTGTCGCAAAAGACCGAGCAATATAGCGGGCTGCAAAACACAAAGGGCATATATATGTTGCAAAGTTATCATCAGAGAAAAATTAAGGCATACATTCGAAACGTGTACATTCTTATTTAACATTAAGTGAATGGGAACCGTTTAAAATTCCATGTAGATTCAAACGTCTCTGAATATCTGGTTGCGTGCGGATCGGGTATCTGTCGCGTCGGCATGGAAGCGGGAAGAGGAAAGAGGGCCCTCGACGGGAAGCTAATTACAGAATTATCGCTTTTAATTGCGATTCCCGCTATTTGCGCAATGGCATGGCGGTGGAAGCGCGCGATTGTCGTCGCGTGCCGAATTATTGGATGTTGACGTCACCGGCCGCCGCCGCCGCCGCCGCCGCAGCCGCCGCCGAGCTCCGATGCGGCATCGCTTTGCTCGTAATTGCCGGCACCAATTATGCAATTAGCGCCGCGCTCTAATGAGCGCGTAGTGTTATACGCGCGGAATCTAAACACCCGGCTATCCGACACCCGCTCGACGCACGGCACGTCAAACCGCATCTTTGTTGGCCCCCTCTGAAACGAGCGATCCGCCCCAAATCGATTTAACTTTTATTAATGCATTATGCGAACAGTATTGATTATATATAAGTTTATTCTTCAGATGATATTTAATTGCTGATATGCATTTCACTATGTGTAAATGAATTTGACCGTTGACTCTACACGGAAAGAACAATTTTGCTAGCAAATCTAAAAATTTGGCAGATATCTGAAAATAATTTTGTTTTGGGCCTTCAAAAGAATTATGTACAATGTTCAAATTGGTTGCGAAAAGATCAAAAAAATGTTGGCAGTATTATATATGTTTAAGTGTCTTAATCATAATATATAATAATTTTGATGGTTCAATCAATTTTTTTCAGATCAGCCCAATATTTAGATTTGCCAGCAAAATTCTTCTTTCCGTGTACCAATCCCTTCCGCCTGCAGTATTTTTAATTTGTCTAGAGTTTTTGTTACATAACATTTAAATTTCTATGTTTATTTTATTTTTTGCAACCTTTTAACGTTAAATATCTAGAACAGAATCATGTTACAGTAACAAATTAGCGCAGAGACAATGCAAGAGAGAGTTTCTCTATTCACAAGCGCTCTTCATCGTGAATACCGTCAGAGCCTTCTTCTGTGTACCGGCCTCCACGCCATAACAGGCATGTAACAAATCCTACGTGGCGTGTGCCAACGTGTAAACACACTCCGCAACACACTCGTGGCCACAATCCGTTCGCCCTGGCGAACACACAGTGGGGGCACCATCGCCGGGGATGATCGCACAATAAAACACTGGCATAATATTTCGCCCGGCTGGTTGAACACCGCAAATACACTCCAGGACCACATGCCGGCCCTATTTCGCGGAGGGTGAGAAGAGACGGGGCAAAAGGGGGGGGGACGGGTGAGAGACGCGTATGCTAGCGCGTTAGGCGAGGGTGAGATGCCCTCGCGAGCGAGCCCCCGCAAAGTCCCATTGCGTACCGCGGGGGAAGCCCGCGGGCCCTTCCGCGGATTAGCCTCGCTACATTTCGTCCCTTCTGTCGGTGCGTATGTCCCGTCATTATGCCTCTAACTCTCTGCAAACGCAAAACCAATGGCACCGCCACCCACCGCGCACGAATTTATGGGGCAGGATGGATCGCGATTGTTTCCTCGAATTATTGGTTGTCATAAATTGGTTATTATTGGTTGTCATAAATTGGCTACTTATTTCCGCGCTGAATCGTGCTTGATAAAGAAGACTAATATTTTTAATCAATATTTTTTAGATGTAATATTTTTAGACTTAATATTTTGACATACATTTCTTACAGGATTTCTCTGAATTATTTCTAAGAATTATATGTCTTCTCTAATTTTTAGAATTTCGAATTTGGACAAATTCTCTCACCTCATTAACGCAATGAGAGTTGAAAAAGATGTATAAATGTTAAATTAATTTTTTATAATGTCAAACGTCTCTTATTAAAATATCTATTATTTATTTCATTAAAACAAGCAAAAATTGCAATTGTTCAAAATTGTAAATGGGACGTCATTTGATTTAATCGATTTTGAGATGGATGCATCAAGAGTATTTGCTTTTACTTTGGGAGCCTACCGGGGTGGACAAGTAACACGATTTGGCATCACGTTAAAAGTATATTCTGTAGAAGTACGTTTAAGCAGAGAAGGGACTGACTGAAGCCGGCGCGTCATTTTCGCCGGAGGTCAGACGGCCGAAACGAGAATTGCTCGAATTTTGTTAAGTTTGGCAGCAATTACTTTTGATACCCGACACGCGGCTGTAATTGCGTTGGGCCAAGCAGAACGACGGGAGAGGGGTAATAATTCGCTAATATCAATTTCAAATTTCAATTAGTATCATCTCGACGTCCGCCTCTGTGCTTCTCCCCCCCCCTCTTCTCTCTCTGTCTCCCTCTTTCTCTTTCCCTCTGTCCCTCTCTATTCGCGGACCCCACAGGAACACGCCATGATCTAAAATTCAATTTGTCCCTTCGTACCGGAGAGCCGCAAAGAGAGTAGGAGAGACATAGTGTAGTAACGGCGGATAAAGGGAGAAACGAGAGACGAAGGGGAGACGCCGTGATGGAGCGAGCGAGATAAACAGCCGCACAGAGATAACGGAGGGCGCGCGGGCGGCCGGGAGGGGGGAGGGGGTCGATGGTGATGGAGGGAAGGGGGGGGGACCAGGGGTATAGTTAGTGTACACCGGTTCTCTAAAGCCACTCGCGTGCACGCCGTTATATAACGAGAGAGAAACGGCGGGGCCCCGTAGGCACGCGCATGCGCGACATGCCGACCCATTATAAATTGATAACTTCGCCGTTTATTAAGTTCCACGACCGATGCCTGCTTAGGCAAAGAGCCCTCTACGCGTCGCGCCGCTCTCGTTCTCTCTCTCTCTC